AGCGATAGCGCGCTATCGTTCTTCGATAGCGCGCCCAACACTGGTTTTTGGTATTCTTGCTATTGCAATCTATCGATTATTTCAATGAACATTGTCATGAGGAGTTAATTTGTCATTTCAATAATTTAAATTCTCACAAAATGCGCAATAATTTCTGAAACTGAAAGTCTGATGGTTCGTATGAACTTACTTGTTGTCGAAGGTGTTGTGGATGATGGGAGTGCTACCCCTTAAATGAATCTGATTATTAGTTAAGTAAAAACGGCATATAATCGATTTCTGTGGATTCTAGTTGTCATTTGACGTTATGTCTTAGCGGAAGAATTTCTTGCTGCTGTAATGATTGCTCTTCATCGAATTCATTCACTGATTTCTCTGGTTTATGTGTTGCTCTGAGGTATAATCATTACAAAACATTAGTTGAAAAACTGGCGGTTGCTGGAATGTGATTATGATATTGAAATAACAGAAACGAGATAAACATTCAAAACTGAGGGCTAATCCGTTGTTTCTACGGTCCATTATTCTCTTAAGTAGATGCGTTCGCTTATCATTTATTTGATAGGATGAACTGATTTGCTTTAGAATTATGTTGCTTTTTTATGGCATGGAAAATCGTTTATCACCTGATTATTATCGTTGTACTCTTCTGATGAATTTCAAATGCCGTTTGCTTCACTTACAAACTAATGCTGCAGATAACATCATCGATTCCAGAAGAATGATATTTGAATCAAAACATTCGCATTTCACAGCCAGTTTTAACGGTCTGAGAGATATGGAATCATAAAATGCTCACCTAGCCATTCACCAATCTTTCTTTCGATGAGCGCTCGCGTAGGTGCTAAATCTGGAGCGTCTTCTTTTCGTGGTGGGTACATATCTGCGCAATGCGCAGTGCCTGTAAACACGGAAGTGTCAACGGAACGTTACCTTTCGAATGCAATTCTCCTCATCGAGAAGCAAAGAATAACGTCATACACCCCAGTTCAGAGATGCGGCAGGCAACTCGAACCATGAACCTCTATTCCATTTCTGCACATGTTTTTACAGTTTACCGAAAAAAAACCTCATATCTCATCCAGTGGATTCCAGCGATTATCTCTTAGATCCCAGTATCAGATTCCAGAATTGAATCGTAAATGAACTCATGACTGCTCTCGAAATCCCCGGTTACGTTCCCAGCCTCTCCTTAGAAGAGTACAAATCCAGCTGAGTACAAACCGAATTTTATCCTATTGAAATTTCTCCAATTTTAGTAAACAGGGTTTTCGATGGGGAAATCTAACAATAAGCGTGAAAGGATGATGAAGTTGACACGTAATGTTGCACTCAATTCCACTGATACCCGTATGCTAAAATGAAATGGAAATGACCTATCAATTCTAACCTACCGTTCATAAGAACTGTCGTGACACTTCCGATGCCATTGTATTTGCTAAGTGCGTGCCACGGGTCGATATTACCGTTTGTGAAAAAAACATTCGTACCCTGAATTCGATAACTGATTTGATCCGAATGGATGTAATGCAAAAAATATTTTCGGTGATGTCTTCGGTGAAATGGAAGTGAACTATACGTAAATGTTCGGAAACATTGGAATCTTCAGATACTTCTGCGAATGGTAAAACTTGTAGAACATAGGAAGCAATCTGCGTGAAATGTTTGCCATGTTCCATCACTTCGATGGGGAAATTACAAATGATGCTGAGAGCAAGAAAGTCTAATAGAAGAATCACTGTCTACATTCTAAAACTTTTGTACGAAACTGAAATATCAGGTGTGACTAACGTACATGATAATATTCAACGCCACCATAATAGTTGTGTGATTTTTCGTTGGCTTCGTAAACGTATTTTGGTGTAAACGTCGGTCCGAAAGCATCAAGGCATGTGTCAATGAAGAAACTGCAGAGTAATTTAAATCTTTTGATTCTTATGCCATTAATGATGCGACGTTATTGTTGTAGAAGGAGATGGTGGAAGGGTTCATGCTCTAGATCTCAAAAGACTATCATTCATCCGGATAGCATTAGCCTCATGCGTGAATGATGTGCATGCTTGTGAAGATCATGCAAAAAATAAGTGCGGAATGTTTGCATGTAAAATATCACTCGAATTTGAAATGAATACTTCATATTCGGAATGGTTCACTATATGATTCAATATATATGGGATGGTTCACTCGTTCCTAATTGGCTGCGTGCATTGGTGATTCTAGTCAAAGAAATACGAATGTTCAACATAAAACTGCTGTTTTACAAAGCGCATATACAGTTGAACATATCTCATGAAATAACAATTGTGTGATCATTCTTCAGAGTTGTACTGATTGCACTGATATGCAAGCACAACGCTATGTTGATATGCCAGAGATCGGCGATGGCAAGTACAACGGCTGGCGTGCAACCTTCCAAACATAATGAGTTAGTGACCTTTCAATTTATGATCACTGATTAGCAATACGGCTTTCAAGCAGACTCTTATACGCAAGCGTATGTGCAGATACAAGCTGAAATTTTGATGTATGATCAAAAAGCTTATGAGAATTCTATACCACCACGGGCATGCTCACCTCACGTCAAATAAATTCATGAGCAGGAATGTCACGAAGCACAGAAGAAAGGGATCTTTGGAAAAAATGCTTGATTGCCTGACCAGATGTCAAGTGGTGGCACCACTGTGCAAATTTTATGAAAATGCATCATGGTATCTTTTTAGGTTTTCATCACCGCTTCTTCATCAATGGGCTCATTGCAAGATCAGGTTCGGAGTCCTATCGGGAGAGCACAGCGGTATTCTTAGCGTGCGAACGCAATCAGTCGACTTTATCGCGGGCGGTGAGGTATGCACGCCTTCCTGCTGAGGCTTTCGATTTCAAGTGAACGTTTACGAAAAGCTTATTGTTAGTTTTCTTTACTAGTAATATCAATAACAGCAATTTAACTCCCGAAAACGCACTTCACAGGGGTTGGACCACCAAACATGTTTTCGCCGATATCAGTTGACTGGAAAAATCCAAATTCATTGCATGTTTGATATGTCCAACTGCGACTTGCGGCTGAAAAACATGCCATAAGGACAAAATATCACACATTTAGCCTCAGTTTGATGAAGGCGGCGCATCAAATGTTGTGTCAGAAACGTAAGTGGAAAGAGTGAGTCATTATAACCGTAAAATATAAGGTGCGTCATCATTTATTAATATGTCGTCGCACCTCTCATAATACCTACCCTTTATCTCTCATCGACTTTCAAGAATAACAACGCGGCTACCAAAGCGAGAGCGTAAAGGAGTTCGAATTTATGTTATGACACACGTATTGTTTTGCTCCACTAGATAATAGGACCGTCGTAGAAGAAGCTAACATACACATTGCCGTGATGTCCTTCAAGTAATCAACATAGTTTTCATAGCGATTGTCAGTATAGTTGAAGTAACCATCCCAAAACTTCGCTATATACGCATTAACATCAGCCACATTCTCGATTGCAGTTTTCGTATTGTTCACCATATACTTACAAACATCATTTATTCCTCCACCAATCGCATGCTTTCCCTTGAACGAAACGATAAAATTCCTTAAACTTCTTTCATACACTTGAAGCCATTCATTTGTTTATCCATTAGTAAGGTTTCAAGGAACCCACAATTTATGTCCACACTAAATTAAGTAAGGAGATATAGCGGTGAATGGCAAACGAATGATCCGTTATCAATATGAATTCCACTCACACTGTTGTCGTTATTGTACTGCACTGCACCTTGAAAGTTACTGTAAATATTGCTGAAGAAATACTGCATGTCGACATCAGTAATCGTTGATTGGGCGGTCCATTCTGGTTTCAGTCTACAAATTGAGCATAAAACCCAGTGGTTGCGCGCACAAATATGCCGAGGAGCTTCGTGAAAACTTCTTGAGAATATATCGATCATCTTGATGAAAAATCCTGAGGGCACTGAATAACTTAAAGAGAACGTTTTGGGAGATTGAGGTGAAAGTGGGAGGCTGACGATTTCTTGGAGCGGATTTAAATCTAGTACAATAAAGAAGGCGACAGTAGGAGCTCACAGGCACTGCAAGCAATAGTCATGTTAGGATTCAGGCCTTAACTTCCAAGTGTGTTTCAATGCTCAACTTTTTTTCTAATGTCTGCAACTATACAGAATCAATATCCTGGGCTGCATCGAGTAAACGGATGCAATAAATTTCCTCTGTCTTGATGGTAAATAATTAAAAACTTGTTGGCACAATCACACGGTGGAATGTGCGGAAAAATACTTGATCATAAAGAATTTGAAGTGGGACTAAAAATATGGCACTTAATAAATTTAACCAACGGCTTTGACGTACGTGAATATATTCGTCAAATATGCACGTCCCTCTTGTGTTAACGAAAGTTTACGCATTTCATCGAACGCATTTCCAACGTTGTCGGCGCATTTCGGGTTGAAGAATCGTAATGAATTTGCAACAACGATTAAGTATTCTGAAAGGGATTTTTTCTCATTATTAAACTCAGTATTGTTTACTCTGATGGTTTCATGCAAGTGAAACCAGTTGAAATAACTGACCGTAAAAGTCGACTTTCGCTCCTATCGGTGCCGAGCTTGCCAGTGCACCCACCGTTAGTTCAGGATAAAATTGTCGGAACCAGGCGGAAAGCATTCCTGAAAATGAGTTCTTTCAGCATCAGTCACTTATTGTATAGTATTCAAGGACTGACGACCATCTCATGCACAATTTGGCCGAGCTAATCTTCATAATTGAGTTTATTCGTTCCATCACAAAAGTCAGCTCATATGAAAATTCTTCACCGGGATATGAGCCACCAAATGTGATCCACTGAGGATTGACCAGTTTCTGTTCCTTATTCATGGTCTTAATGAACTGAGCTAAGTCCGCGAGTGCTTGTTGCGATGTGAGCCATTTGAGATTTTCGGTCGATTGATCTCTGTAGCGATGATTGTATAACAAACTGTGATTGCTGCATGGGATGAATTATATTATGGAGAAATTTACAAAAGATTGGTCAAAGACTGTAGGATTTGATCTTTTGTTAGAGATTGGAGTAAAAAAGGCACTGAGGTTTGCAGAATTATTTCGTATTGAATAATCTATGCAACTGACGGAGTTGGCCAACTTTCTCCGTAGTAACGATGCTCGAGCATGTAAACGGTGGCGCCGTATTTCCTTGCTGCGCTCATGATCTGCACTTCTGGGTTTAGCACCCATTTCGTGTTTGCAGTTCCTTCACCTCCGATCATCAAAAAATGAGGTCCTCTTGGTTTAGCATATTGGGGATTCATCCAATATCTCTGCAAGATTTCAAATGAGAACACGTCGGAACGATCACACCGTATTCGTTTCAGAGCACATTTACGGAATTTGTTACTCAACTATGGGCAATAAATGTTTGTTGATGATCATTTCTGAATTATTCATTTTCAAAAATACGATTTTGAAAGATTTAAATGAGACATCACTCATAATCACCTGATTGAATGTGTTGGTGTTTGTGGCATTGAAATGATCAACCGGCATAGTAATGGTTCCTGCGACGAATCCTTTAGGGTAAGCAGCCATATCGATTGGTGCCTGAAAATTCATCATTAACGTCAAGTAGCTATTGAGAACTTCGTCAATTATTGTGAACGTAAACGATTAAGCATGAATGCGGAATGCTCACAGGTGGATCGACAACGAGTCCCGTCAGTGGACGGCCCCAAATGAATGGGTTCAAATGCTGTGGTATCGTCTCGGTGTGATATAGTTCCTGAAAATTTCATGCTGATGCATCTCTTGAATGAGTGGTGATGGTCATCTGTGAAATTTCGAAATGCATTAAAAGGATTTGACTGAACTTCGAGCATCGCCGTTCCTAAGTGATGTGGAGGAGATGATAGGACTTACGCATCTTTCATCGAGCGAAACATTAAGGAATACGATTTACCTAGAAGGCCTTATTCGAACGGTGAATCAGCATTAAATTTGATTATTCAGATGTCTCTGAAATTTTGACGGCAATCCTAATGAAATTACCTCTCTAATTGGTTTCAACGGTACTGCTCGTAGCACCGAACTGAACTGCTTCATTTTTGGAAGCTTTGATCGCGTTTTTTTGATTTGTGATGTAACTTCTGGCATTTTCGCCTTCACTTCCTGTTGTTTTTGTTCACCCCGAAGCCACACATCGATATTTGAGGCTATAATTTTCCGCGCTTTGACCAGAGATGGCGGATCAGAGGGACGCTCTGGCTGCATGTCTTGGCAATGAACCGTGCCTTAATGATCACCCGATTTGGTAGCATTAAACATAGCACATCGGACTTCCCGGTGTTGGCACTGAGATATCATGTTCTCAGGCAACCCCTCAAACCTAAAGAGAACGCTTACCGTTTATGAGAATAGGCACAACTGATGGATGTTTCGATGAGTATAACCCAAGTGCATGCCACGGATCAATGTTGCCGTTTGGGAACACAACATTTGTACCCTAAAGAAACAACTGAGAAAGAAAATTCGGTTAAAAAATTAATATTGTTTGTCATTATCTGCTGCAGAATTTATTAGTATTGGTTCAAGAAGAGCTGCTAACTGAATCGCTAGCGAAGTAATCGGCTTACATTGAAGTGATGGCTACCACCGAAGTATTCCAACGTCTCGTGAATTTTTCTATCGATCGTTTCTATTCTGTGCTCAGGCCCGAATATATCATTACACATGTCCACTTCGAGACTGAAATCCTCTTAAAGTCTTCAGCTACCGCTTAAGACCGCTTTTTAAATCTTGTCGTTTGGGAACAAAATCCCCTTTTAGTCAAAATATCGTTACAACCACTATATCGGGAACAATTTAGTCCAGGAACGAAATTCACAGGATTAGGACCAGAAAAGTAATATTCTGTCGTGATCATAGAAGATAGGCAGTGTTTTGCATTTGACTCGATTTGCAGCAATCCCGTGACAGCTCATATTCAAAAGAACAAAACCATATAAACAATGACATAATGTTCGACAACAACAGTTTTGAATAATGCGCTGATCATGATCCATTAAAAATTGTTAATTGCAGACCCATATCTATAGACGATGTGAAGGATTTCCGTCAGTGAAGGTGATTTTTCTTTTTATAACTGTGGGTTACGCCATGTTCTAAAGGCCGCATCCTCTACTTCTGCCTGGTCGAAAATTCTGAGCACAGGCCTGGTTAGATGCACGGTTCAATCATGCACTCTGAAGAAGAAAGCTTACTTCATTGGCGATCCACTGCCAAAAATATTTCGACCCAAATCGGTTGTTTGAAAGTATCCGAACTCTGTACACGTTTGCCAGATCCAACTTCGTGTAGAGGCTGAATTTTTGAATTTTTCATCTTTTCTCACCGCCAAAATGACTCATTTTTCCTCGACGAAAGGTACTCACTCTATCCTCTTCACATAAATGCAATCAGCAACTAGATATACTCTTTATAGCTCTGCCGATTCATGTTTACGGTCATTGCTAAAGATGATTACGTTTCAATTTTGTTTATATCAGAACTTTAGTGAACTTTAGTGCAACATTTGGTATTAAAAATGCCAGGATGTGCATTTAAAATTTCACGAACCACTAGCTCTGTTGTATTCAGTGTTCTTCAGCTCGGTAATCAAGGCATCATAATCAATATCCGTTTGGTAATCTCTGCCCCCGGAACTCAGTATGACGAGTATTAATTTTAGACGGTTGAAATATGTCATACCATTATAAGTCATTATTTGGCATGCAGCCGTAATCTATAATATTAAAGAATAATCGCCGTATCACAAAAATCTTAGGTTTGGTAAGTCTGCGGGAACCATAGATTTCACTTTTCTAGATTCGAGAGAAATCTAAGCCACGGTACTTGCTATGATCGAAGGCAAATTCTAAAAATGAATCATGAACATGAAAGTATAGTATATAATTATAAGGAATCACCCAAAAGACGTCGAAAAACAAGAACAAGGCACTTTCAAAATCAAAATGACATAATCTCAGACATTGTAAACCATGGATGGTTTTGTCTTCAAACTCCTAGCTCATAGGGTACGACCGGGCGATATGAGAGTGTGTAAACACTTACAAATCTCTCGCCTCCGTTCTGTGCTATAAACTGAAACGGTGTGAACATCAATCTGAAGTACAGTTCTGTTTCTTTATAGCCAAGCGATATGTCATTGAGTCCGGGCCTTACCCTAAAAGCTCATAAATCTTTATCTTCGGAAACGTTAGCTGGATCTTTCATACTTTTGCAGGAGGACGTTCCTTTCAGTGAAAAAAGGCCTCTGAGATAAACACTATATTGAGGTGGACCGCTATCATTTCACTGCTATAGAGGCTCCATAAGCAGTGTGGAGTTATTGATAGATTGTGTCATTTCATTCGCTCAGGTCGCAATAGGAAACCAATTTTGACGTAATTAGCGCGTACAGAAGGGTTTTGTTAAAAGAACTTTAGATGGACCACTGAGCTATGGCTCATGCAATTTCTCAATGTTCCTTAAATCCATCCTGTTTCCTACCCATAAATAAATTCACCCTGCTTCCTACCTACATAAGCATAAGTAATCTGTTGGATATGCAACGCATACAAGAATGTTTCAGTGAGATTCGTACGCCCTTCTTCTGTCCACATAAATTCTGACATTTCCTTGAAAGTTTCTCCGATTGCAGAGGCGCATGTCACATTGCATGATCGAATGTCCTTTTGAACCACCTCAAGGTATTCTGTAATCATGTAAAACAGTTGACTACAGCAATATTTTAAAACTGCACGTGCAACGCAGGTAAATACCGCACCTATGCTGCGCCTGCAAACGTATGTAAAAATCTAATGCTAGAACATTCTGAACTCAATAAAAAGCTGTTAATAATGTATTACAGAGTTGGACTTAACGCACGCGAAAGTTTCTTCATTAGGACAATTCCCTTTTACTCAGTATCACATTGAGAGCTTGATTGATCATACTGCATTTAATGCAGTGTGCTGCTCAAAAACAGCTGCAAGATTCCCTCATATCTTTCTGATCAACTGAACACTTGCATCAAATGATAGTGATGATTGCTGATCCACGTTTTAAGTGCTTATGGCGTAACAAGTTTTGTTCCGACAGATACAGCTGAAGCTGTGTTGTCTAATCTCATGAAATAACGGGTTCTAATAGAGCATCCAGAATCAATTATTACTGCTGATTCGTTTTTTGAACAATGAGAACAGACCGTGAAAATCGAGCTTAGCTTCGACTGGCGCCGAACTCGCCACTGCGCCCACAACCAGTTCTGGATGCTTCTCTCGTAACCAAGCGGCCAACGCTCCTGATCAGAAACGCTTCAGTTTATGTTTGAGCAAAATATTCTTCGTTCAATATCAGTGATGTTAAGCGGAAAATGGTTAGGGGCAAACGACGTGGAGGTGAAGAATATGTGGGATATGATGGGTGTCTATCTCTTACAGCGATTCTTTTTCAACTGTCCTCAAACTTCCGCATAATCACATTTATTTGAACTGCAAATTCTTGACATTCATAGCTTTGAAGCATATAATATGTGGGAAAAGGATACTGAGGCATACCTGAGTATGAACCACCAAATACCACCCATTTCGTATTCACAAAATTGAACCTTTTATTGATGTAACGTATGAAATAAGCCGCATCCTCGACCCCTTGTTTACTACTCAGATACTTTAAGTTTTCCGTTGCTAGCGTCCTGAAAATCAATTTCAAAACTCTGAACACTCGTTCCGTCCTTCGCAGTATTCTTTATTTCCATTCGTTCACACTGCGTAAGACCAGTAGGCCATCTATATCAACATGAGCGATTCTTGTTGCCTGTCTCATTTTCAAAATCCAATCACTTATGTTCATCATGTCCAATTCATATATCCGGAACCAATTATTGGAATGTTTCGCAGAGTCAAGTTATTGGCTCACTTTCACTCATGGATCTATGTTCTTATGAAAATCATGTATTCATTAAAGGCATCTCGAATTGGAATTCATCCTACTGATGAAAGGAAGAATCGATTAGTTATCGTCACTTCATACACAAATCAATTCCAAGTAAACGTAGCAAAAAGTTGGCGACTGCTTGGCACAAATAATTTTTTTGCGTATTTTCAATGTTCAAAAGAGTCCGAAATGGAAATTGACTGCACTCTATTCGGATCAATTGCTAACAAGAAAATATAAATCAAATGACACTTACGGAAACGGTCTGCTTTCTCCATAGAAACGATGTTCAAGGCTGAACAGAGCTGCACCATGTTTTTTCGCCCATTTCACCCAAGGCAACTCTTCATAACTGACCCAAGCCGGATCTTCAGGAGACTCGCCGCCAAGCATCAGAAAAACAGGACCAGTTGGTTTGTAGTATTTCATATTATAAAAGTAACGCTGAAAAGTGAACAGTTCGGCGTATTTCGATAGCAAACTTCATTCGGATTTCTTTTCATTGGTTCACAACTTCAAACGCAAAGATTTGTTCCCTCTTCAATGTGTGTTTCCAGCAAACTTCACTTATCACTGCACCAAAACAACAACGATTTGACGGAAAGAACTTCCCAGAAGCTCATCTTTCTATATTGTCACAACGTGTCGTTCAGATTACGCTGTTGTTCAGATAGCCATTTTAAGAAATTAATTACCGTCGTGTTTCTGGAAGTGATCGTATGAGATCACCTCAATCGTCACCTTAGGGTGACATTCAAAATAATTTTCCATTGGTGAAGACGAAGAAATTCGGTATATCGACAGCAGACAAAATTGATGTATCTACCTGTTTCCATGTTCGCCCATCGGACGGTGTAAAATGGTCCAGTAATTGGCGAATGGTGGCGGATGAAGGGTTAAGCTGAGCACGAATGTGTGGCTGAAATTAAATCATTAGCACTCAACAGTACTTTTTCCCATCTTTTTATTTGCAGCGGAAGAGTCAGGCTGAGAATTTAGACTGCCAGGTTTTCACGTCTGACATGCCGACAATGAATGCACGAAACAGCATGCAAATGAGGCTTATAAGAGGTGAATCAGGAGGTATGCTCAGTTGAGTGAGTTTTGGAATCGCTCAGGACACTTTTCCAATATTTCTGTATACCCTGAAAATGAGAGACTTTTCAATGGAAATATACGATGCAAATGTGTACTTGATCCGCTAATGGATCACGTTTAAATCCGTCACGAGGTCTGCCCATAAAGAAGCCAGGTATCCGCGTTTGAGAGTTCTTCGCAATTGCAACCTGCTGAAGTCGTGCTTCTGGAAGTGATCGTATGAGATCACCTCGAATGTGTGGCTGCAACTAAATCATTACCACTCAACAGAACTTTTTTCCCATCTTTTTATTTGCAGCGAGAGAGTGGTCCAGTAAATTTAAAAAACACTTTCTATTTTTTAAATAAGTTCTGAATGCATTCAAATATTAAACATTGATTAACTTGACTAACAATATGTTCAATTTGATTACATGCTTCATAGTTGTTATTAGAGGATCAGTTCTGACCAACGAATATCAGCAGGTATTCCATGTAGCAAAGTAAACCTTACCTGACGGTAAATGAACAACGTTGGATAAACGGAACCTACGCGAAAGATCCAGTGTAGGATAAAGATTTTAAAACATTATTACCAGATTAATATTATTGATGCAATGAGAATCGATTATACATGAAGAGCCATCCAACTTACCGCAACGAAAAATAAGAGGAGAGTCGTCCGAAAAATGGCGCGCTCCATCTCGTATTCTGTAAGAAAATTGCTTAGTGAATTGATGAACATTAAATTAAGAGAATGAGATAGAAGTTGTGCAAAGAATCATCTGTGGAAATACAAAAATGATCAGCCAAGCAGATGAGTGATCACGACTTTGTTAAGACTTGCGAACACTCCGCCTTTGATTCCGAGCATTACCGATGCCGATGGAATATTCATTTGCGAACCAAAGAGCGGTTCATATGTGTAGAAAAATTTTCGAAGCGTTCACTACCACTGCATTTTTTTCAATGTTGCTGAAATGAACGAATATTGTGCATACTCCTCCTTATCAATGCCATAAGCTGGTTTAAAATGAAAGTGACAATGAATGCTGAAATTTCTCATCTGTTGGGTGTGTTCTGATCATTTGCTCACTTTATCAATCGCTTATAGAACGTCGATATTAGTCTCTGTACACTCAAGAAGAAGCACGTAAGATGGAGTGTTCAGTTTCTAAAGAAGTCAGCAAGGACACACTGCAACGGAGAAGACGGGATATTCGACTCCACTGTGCTTTTAAGTGATGTTATTAAACGAATTGGAGGAATATCAGCGAAATTTTCAAACGAAGAACATTGGATTGAATTATCGAACGGGTGAATCGTCCATATCAGTGATATCGAATTTCTCAGTAAATTATCACAGAATTCTAAAACTGTGGCTTTGATTAAGGGTGGTGTGGAAGCGCGATTTTGACAGGCATTGTAGCGTTACTCCGTGATGGTCGAAATGGCGCAGAGGAGAATAAATTATGCAATGAATGTTGAAAGTACTGTGGTGAAGGTTGAGAACGACCAACTAACAATTACTATCAGCACTAACAGATTCCGAACTGAATGTTCAGCCAGTGTGACAGATTCTGAACAGATTCTTACCTGAGTGTTCAACCATTCCACCGATTCTGAACTGAATGTTCAACCAGTGTGAACTGTTCACTACAGAAAAATTATCGAGATCGATAACTGAATGAAAACATGCCCGAATAGAATCTCACGTAGATCTCATTCTCACGCATCTCTCATCTTCAGATGTTACAAATCGCATCGAGTCTGTGTTCGTTTCTTTCTAACTGTTGACCGTAATTTCACGAAGTTTACGAAGGAAGTTCAATGAAAATGCTTTATTGAGATTGCTTCGATGACTATCGCCTTATGTGACCGTTGAAAATGTTTTGAAATACGCTAAAAATGTAATGCTGGTAGTGAATATTATAAATGTTCGCAGCTGTTAATTGATAGAATGATATTGAACAGAACATTAAGGAGACGCTTTCTGCGTTATCAACAGCATTATTCGTTGCTTTTTTGGAGTGATAAAATAAAGCTATGATAAAATCAAATGCGATTATGAACCTCCTTCATCATTTCGTTGTTATCAGTATGACTACTGATTTCTTATCAGTATGTCAACTGATCTTTTGGCAACCGTGCTTTCTCATAGGCATCTCAAAAAATTCATCACAACTTTTATGGACGCATGACTTATCGGAACGCAATTTTTTGGCACCAAACTTATTCTCCGTGAACTCGAGCTGAACAGCGCAAACTTTTTAAAACCACTGATGATATGTTATAGTTTATTTTCTGGAATCCACAATTGATTTGATCAAATAATTCATTGTAGTAAGCTTCGATGGAACAACATCTGCGGGATTCAACTGGGGCGAATTTTCTAAAGTTGAACCCCAAAAATAACAATGTAATTTCATAAATCCCTCGCTAAAAAAGAGCAATTAATTTCATTTGTTCTTGCCTAGACATGTGAACGAAGCATCACTCCAAACAAAATTATGAGCTGTTCACTGCAGAAAAATCACTGACATCCACACTTGATT